TTCCTTTTTTCATTATTTGATTTATTCTTCTTGCATTCTGGRCARTTATATTTTGTATAGCCTTGTTTTCCACAATTAAAACAATGCTTACCCTTAGTCTTCTTGAATCCTTTTGAGAATTTAAAATTCTTATTAAATTTCTTCCCATTAGCATTTTTGAAAAACTTGCCCTTAGGCTTTTCAACCATTTGGGAAGTTTCAGTTGGTTTAGGAGTAACCATTAAGGATGAAGGTTGGGATTTCTTCCTCTTCCTTTCAGCCTCCAATCCTAACAAAGTAGGTAAGTTTTTAATGTTAACTTCTCTTCTAGATAGGTTCAAAGTTGTCACTACTGAATTCCAAGAAGATGGGAGGCTATTGAGAATGGTGGAGACCTGAATTTTATCAGGAATAGGGTTCCCAGTGGCTGCCAATTCCTTGGAAATCACATTCATTTTACTAACATGATCTACTACAGAATCCTCTTCTCTCATTTCACAGCCATAATATTTTTCAATTAACAATTGAACATTGGTTTCAATTATTTTTCCATATGTTTCTTTATTGGCTTCAAACATGTCTTTAGCATTATTGTGTTCTTCAAACACAACTTCTATGTMAGGCTCCATAAAGGTTAATAAACAATTTCTTGCCTTCCTATTATCCCTTTCCCATTTTTGATATTCACGAATTACAGTCAAAGAATCATCATCATCAGGTTTAGTAGGAATAGGTTTATCTAAAACATAATCAACATTTTCTTCATCAAGTATCCTTCTAATCCTACGTTTCCAGAGAGCATAATTGGTGCCATTCAGTTTCTCAGTTTTACTGAGTTCTTGGGATAAGGCAGTAGCAGACATGATTCAAAGAAAAAAAAATAGCAACAGTATTCCAGATATAAACAAAGCAAGTGCAAATATCAGTTGGCTGTAATTTACGGGACTGTCATTCAATTTCAGAGGCAAAAAATAAGCAAATAAAGTAAATGCAAATGGAGTACTTAGCAGTTCACGCAAAACGTATTAATTTCTCTAGCTCCCACCGCTCCTTTTTAACTCAGCAGTAGCATTGGTATTCGGCAATGATGCTCAAAACTTCAAATCTTGACGCTCAGTCGGCGAACAATGATGGATGAGTGGAGCTCTTACTTGTAACCCTTCTACCGACGAGAAAGAGAGGGCGTCGCTGCTTTGTGAAGGTCGCGAGTTCGGTCAAGATCTTGCAGATGGATCAAAAGAAAAGGAAAAAAAAGAGAATGAAGTTTCAGTAGTTCTTCGAGCAGCAGGTTCGCTTGAGAAAAATTGGAACAAGAGTCTGCCGCAAAAAAATGTCACTAGAGCGAACAAGTGCTTCGGAGGTTGCAGTAGCGCAGGGACGAAGCCGAGGGTTCTGTTGTCTCGGAGTTGCCGTAGCCGCTGGAGATGGGCAGTTGAACAGGGGACTCACAGTTACCCAGTGACGCTTTCGAACAGGGTTTTCGAAGATGAAACCCTTGTTGCCGTGAAGATTGTGCAGATGGGAGGAGACGAGTCGATGGCAGAGAGGCAGAGAGGAAACTCTCGAAGTGGGTTTTGTTTTCTCTCTCCTATCCTTCGGATCTTAAAAGGCGAGATACGATTTGGTGAGGCACGCCTATGTTTTGAACACTATACCAGTCGAACCTCGCTCTGATACCAGTGATAAACCAAGTGCGTGTAGAATCGAACGGCTGAAGTCTCTGGTGCCTTTACCTGCATGCAAAAGAGAATGAGAGGAGCTTCACAGTATCGGACCCGAGACACAAACCTCTCAAAGAATATGTGAGAGAGAGTAGCTTAATCTGATTAGAGCCAAGACTGAGAGGATGATTTTCCTTTCTCAGTAAATGGCTTTTTCTC